TGAAATTTGTGCAATTTATTTCATTTGCTGGCAGATTAAGTTTACTGTCTCTGACAGAAAAAATAAGAGAGATTCCAGGTCATCTGAGTTAGTGGGCTCTTTGAATGAAAAAGTCAGACCTATACTAACAGTATGGACCATGCTAACAGAAAATGTATAGAAAATATTATATGCCTATCAGATACGGCTTTAGAATGTTGACAAATATAAAAATATAAATAAATAAATACTTCCCCTCCCAAAACGTTATTCCAAGTCCTGACATCGTGATTTCTGTTGGTTTATCTAAGCTTCTCTTAAATGTTCATCTAGCTGCTAGCATGACAAGCGTCAGTACCTGGAACATTCAGATGATTTGTGTTATTTCAATTACGCACTAATTAGTGGAAGCCCTACTATGCTCAATGACACACAAAGGGCAACGGAACAGTAACTATAGCAATTATTCTCTGCTAAAAGAAGGTGCTGAAAGAAAAGTGCTTTTGTGCAAATAAAAATAAAAATTGCAGAATCTAGGGAGAAAACAAAAAAAAAGAAAAAAAAAAAAGTTGTTTGAGATTACATAGCAGAAGTTTTCATCGTGGAGGAGATGGTAGAAGGTTCTCCATGCACAGAGCAGAAGCCCGTGGGCACCACGCAGAGCAGATCTCCATTGCAGATGTGGAGCAGCCCATGGTGCAGCCGTAGATGTGGCCTGCAGGAGGCTGCAGCCATGGAGCCCCTGCAGGAGAAGCACCAGGCTGGAGCTGCAGCTGTGGAGAGGGGCTTGCAATGGGGCAGGAGGGCTGGGGGAGATAGACAGCATCTTGTGACCCTTCTATTCAATATCAAGGCCACATATATACTAGGTTTTGTAGCCCGGAGGTGTGATTCACCCTTTATAGACATCTGCCTACCATCATGAGGTGATCCATGCCCCTTGCGGCACTACTGGAAGATGTTGTGTCCCGGTTGACTCTTACATCTGATTAACGATAATGTGTAATTACTCTAGGGAGTTCTATTATTTGTGGAACTGCCAAATACTGTTACTATGCAATTAATCCCACTGAATGATTTATGGAGGAAAGGACTTAGTGTGAACGATAATGGCAGGATCTGGCTTTACCTAATGGTTCATTAGCTATATTGAATGAGAAGTTCAGTTTTTCCTCTTCCTCAGACGATCCTCCAAAATATCAAGCCACTCCAGTTTTGTATTTGCTTTGGATTTCTTCTCCCTGCACAACTTTATTCATCCTTCTATTGTACCAGTCATTCAAGAGAACTTCTTCCATCACTAAATGCAACATAAATGCAACATAAATGCAAGGAATTTCTTCTAAATCACTATTTTATTGTTTAAAGTTGGCAATATGAATACGAATGCAGCTTTCTGTTTTGATTTTCCTAGCATTGTCTCATTCTCCTTTATGCTGGCTTAGTTGTCTTCCTTAGAAGCCAAATACATTTTCAAAGAATCTTCATAAAGAGGACTGTCCTTTATGCAAGACAGTGCACTGCCTCTGCCTGGGCCTGTAGCTAGGAACATTAGCTATGTGCAATAGAAAGGACACACCAGGACCAAAATCTCTGCAGAAATGTGTTTCTTTTTTATTAGGAAAGCCTTCTATAGGCTTAATTATTGTGGACAAAAAAAAAGTACAGTTTCCCAGGGAAATACTACCCACTGATATCACAAGAATTCAGCTCTGCTTAAGTGCTGGGAGGTATGTTCTCTGTGCACTTATAATCGGGTCATTATCACCATGGTTATGAGTTTTTAACTGACTGAAAACTGTAGGCATTTTCCTCATTAATACCAAATGTTACAGTTTATTTCTGGGAACTGAAAACCCTGCTGCCCAGGGAAACCTGTGCTGTGATAATTTTTGAAAACAATGCACTTGAGAATAGCCTGCTTGGTTTCTGTCAAATGGTTTTACACATATTTTGTTTACTGGTTCTTATGGGCTTTTGGTTGTTAAATAACTTTGGTCTGTTGTATTTTGCTTTGTAAGTTAGTGTTCTTCGCAGGCTATGGGTCTAGTTCTTATGAAACAAGTGATTACAGTGCTCTTTGTTCATCTGCAATCACTTCTGGATTATGCTTGCATCTTAAAAAATTCTTTGCATTTACATTTTACCGTGCCCTCTCCTGTTTTTGCCTTATTTTGTATTGTACACCTTCAGACAAAACACTTCAGCTGTGATCTTGAGGCTGAATATAGCCATACTTCTGTGTTTGGAAGATAATTAAAGAAGTGCCATTTCCTTTCCAGTGTTGCTTCTATCACTGCAGTTTTCTTTCTATCACAGACAAAACATGCAAAATTGTCAGTGATTTTATTAACAGCTGGATCAAGACAGAAGTATCAAATAAAAGCAGCCTAAAGATAAACTCTTTCCCATTCTGCTTCTGTGCACACCTACATACACCACATGCTGTCACTCCCCTAATCAAAACGACAGTCATCACTACCTGTGTCTTGTATCATCCAAGAGAAGAATAAACCTTTATGAACAAAATGGCACACCATAATTACACAGACACTAACCTTCTTTATTTTGTGATGCCAAGAGCCGGAAGAATAAAAGAATGAGTAAGAATTGTTTCTGTAGGTCTTCCATTTCATAAGGATTTATGAAGTTGGATTGCTTTATGGACAGATGGTTGAAAATTATAATAAAAGATTAAAAAAAAAATGGATCTTTGTAAATAGAATTGCATGCATATATGCTGAGTATAATCTTTCAGAACTAGGACAAAATTCATAACAACCTTCATCCTTCTTTTTCTGTCTTCTGACTGTTTATCTTGTTTAATGTACATACTATCTTTGTTGTTATATGAACTAATTAGGATTTCTTATGTGAGGTGGGTGTGCAACAAAAAAAATCAGATTTTCTAAAGGGATTTTAGATCACTTTTGGGAGAAGGAGGGAACTGGAGGATCATGGGTAAATCAGAGTTGTCATTCTGCCCACTTCCCAGCCAAATCTGATAGCCATGCAAGAATCTTTACACCGATTCTGGATGATTAAGCAAAAAAACAAGGTAAATCTGGCCCCGGTATAAATACTGAAGACTGCCAAATGTGTGCAGGAAAGAGAGATCCTGAGTTGATCTCATTTCCTTACGCTGTTGGCATTCTGCTAAGAGATTTGGCTGAAGCCAGTTCTGTGTGTTCTCTCTGCAGGCTGCTGGCATTGCAAAGGATCTCATTTTCCATTGCCAGGAATACTTGTTCAAAGTGACAGAAAGGTGCCAGTGAATAGCCCAAGATTTCACATTACTTTCTGAAAGTATTAGGACTTGAAAAATACGAAACAATGTGGAGACATCGTGGTCCAGTTGCAGCCATTCACACTGGTGCTGGTGATCCTAAGCAACATAAACTTTCATGGATTTTTTTAGCAAATCTCCATATTGCTTTCAAACGAGATTATTGAAATAGAAGGATTCCTCCTGTTCATACGAGTTATTAGATGTCTAGTGCTTGGTGGAGGTTCATATTTTGGAAATGAGCTCTTTGACCTTGCAACTTAGGCTTATTCTCCAGGAGATTTGGCATAGAATATAATACTTGAAGTAACAGATGACAGAATCACCTTTATTCAGAGACAAATCAACAAATAGAGATAAATGTCAAAGACATCTAGGATGGCAAAGCAAAGAGAGAAGGGAAGTTCCAACACAGTAGCTGGGAGCAGCTTGTTGAGGTGGATGATGGAGGAATTGGTTGTATTTTGGCAGTAAAGGAAAGTGGGAAGATCTCCCATGGCCAACATTTTCTGGTACAGCTCTGCTTATGTTTCATTTCATTTTTACTGTCCTCTTTCTGCTTGGACTTGATACTAAGGAGAAAGAATCAAAAGCCATGAGTTTTCAACAGCGTCCAGTCCACTTAAAAAAAAAAAAAGAATAATAGTGAGATTATGGTATACCCACCTGTCTTCAGGATTTAGGATTTTATCTTGCTACCTATACAGGCTAAAATAATCACTGAGATACTGCCTTGCTGCCAGCCAACCCTCTGGGCATCACAGCAATGCTTCAAAAGTGGCAGCACCTCATTGCTGAGAAACTGAATTAGGCCCTATTTTTTTTTCTTTTTTTTTCATTTAAGGTAGCATGTACAAATAAACTTGCTTTTGTAATTGTTTCATAGACAATTAAGAACCATCTATATAATCCATAAATTATGTGGACCACTTCTCTTTATTATTTTTGACGCTATTATTCTTAATAATGTATTTACATGTTTAACAAACTACTTGTGCTAACAAGCACAATCCTTAGCTGTTAAAATAAAGCTCTATTTGTGGCAGTTATTGTTTTGATACAAATAGCTGTATTTTGATCCTGTGATTACACCCCATGATTACAACAGGCAGGATGTGACCTAACCTTATGTAGATCTTTCCCAGATGAAAAATGTTGTACCTCATCAAAAGTTTTTACTTCTAAATCTTGCTTTGCTACACAGAAAAAGTCCATTTTTTTACTGTGATTTCAACAAGGAATTGCCATGTGCAACTGGGCTGGTACCAGGTCTGGAATTTGGTGGCCCTGCCTGTGGCAAGGGAGCTGGAACTTGATGATTCCTGGGGTCCCTTCCAACACAAGGCATTCTGTGATTCTATGATTCCATGATTGATTCTATGATTCTGTGTGCACAATTTTCATCAGTGAAAATCTTAATCTGCATTTTTATGGACTGTATTTGTTAAATTCATTTTGATTTCCACAGTATGAAGAAATAAATCATCATCACATGTTGATTACCTAAAATATTGGTAGTGGTGCCCTGCTATCGAAATAGCACTCTCCCAAGTTTGTTGTACTGGTGAAACATTTGCAGTCTTATTTTTCTTGTATACAATAGTCTATTTCATCTTATTTAAGTCTGAAATATACAGACAGTTGAATTAAAGGGAAACTTTAGGAAACAAGCTTCTGAACTCTTCAGTCTGTTTTGAATAATGCAGCAAATGCTTTTCCATTCCCTTACCATCAGGTAACAGAAACGCGGACTGGTCCTCTTGGCTGCAGTAACTATGACAACCTAGATTCTGTCAGTTCTGTTCTGGTTCAGAGTCCTGAAAATAAGATTCAGTTGCAAGGTATGTAGGTGTAATTTCATTAATTTGTTTTGGAACAGGATGACATTCATCACGGCATTTGTTTTTCTTTTTTTCCTTCTCATAAAAGGTCATTATCTTTTCTTTTTGTGTGTGTGCAATAGTTACATTTTAGGCAAAGTGAAGGAAATGTCAATAACTCATGCTGCCATTCAAATTGAAAAAAATTTCTTTACCCATCAGAAAATAATCTGAATAATGCTGTTAACATTTTGCATCTCTACTTTGCAATGACTTGCTCACCTTTCAGAAAGCCCAAATTCCAATAGGTTCTACCAAGCAGGGAATGACATTTCCTGTGCTTAGCCTGCTTTGCACATTTTGAGTAATAACCCATCGTCCCACTGGAGTGGGATTCACCAGAGGAACAGGGCATAGATTTGCAAAGTCCTTGAGTAATGCAAAGTGCAGAGGCTCCTCTGGGACTTACAAGAAAACCCATAAGGTTACACATCTCACTCATTGGAAAAACGTGTAAAATGGTATCACTTCTGATTCATTTTTAATAAACTGCAGTAAGTGCATATCTGCATATTAGGCACCTAAGCATTGTTGAAAGTGAGCCTCTAGTAATTGTCTTAATTTTTATTTGTTCATTTTCAGTTACACAAATACAATGTGAACAACTTTCAATTACTGCTGTGAAAACAGACTAAATTCTCTATGATTTATATGTTTATGCCTAACTGTACATTCAAGGACAGAAGAGTATGGGTCTTAATTAAACAGTTATTTCAAGTTGTAAAAATTATTGATATTGGTTCATACATGAGTTGGACGTATAGTTGACATATAGCATGAAGTTGTTGCTGATTATTAAGACTGGCTGCTCGGGAAAGATTACCTTGTTTTGTACATCCATGTCTCTTTTGCCTTTCCTCTCTCTTTCCATTAGGTGGGAAGGCTGCAAAAGGCATGATTTCACCAAAAATATACGTATTTTTCAAAAGAAATTGTCATTTTCACTGGAATGTAGTGAATAGAATGTATCCATAAATCATTCACTGTTTTTAAAGGTCTCCAGAATTTGCATGATGTTTGTCAGTTAAAATTTGGAAATTAATCTTTGCTTCAGTCAGAGAGCTGTTTGACACATGCCATTAGATTGTCATGAGAAATGTAGTAACAGAACTGCTAAAACTGTTTCATGCTTATCACATAGGAATTGAACAAGACAGGGCTGCTTATTTGGGCTTTCTTTTTCTGTCAGAATTATAAGTTTTTTTTCAAAAATACATTTGTACATTGAAAAAGTATAATACAGTAGCAAGAGTTTTACACGTTTTGATATAAGGCAGAGAAAGGCACAAACAGACCAGCTTTTAATAATATTGTCATGCATCTATAATATGGCTTTCTACCTGGAAAGATTATAAAATTACTGTTACAGATATATTTTTATTTACCTAATATTTAGGAATAAATCTCTATGAAATTGTTCAAGTGCTTGTGTAAGAGAAGCATATCTCACAAATAACCAATGTACTGAGAAATAAGCTCCACTTTTTCCAGAGAGATTATATTTGTTTCAGAGTAATCACAACCAACAAATCAAAATTTACAGTGTATTTCACTGGTTGGTTTTGTTCATGGTTTTTTTTTTTTTTTTCCTATTGCTTGACTGTTGTAGCCAAAGAACTAAGAGTTACAGGTAGTTAACAAAGTTTCTATATAAAATTACACATTCCCATCACTGAAATCATATTAAGAATGGTCAATTGTTTTCAGATGAATAAAGTTCTGGTCAAAAATATTCTAAAATTTTTATTCTGATACCTCAGTACAACATATGTTTTTGCAAGACCTCCACATGTCATGGCATGGTGAAGTGTGAAAATGCTTTGCAAAGGGATTTGAGACATAGCAGAAGAATTTTAATCAACCAACATCCTTCCCTTCTCTATGCTAAACCTGTCGTAGAAATGAATTCTTTGAATGAATGAATTCTTTTTCTCAGGATTTTGTATATTTACCAAGAATATCCAGCAGACTGTCTCTTAGCAATTTGAAATCCCTTAGGAGAGGAGGGATCTATTTGAAAACAGCTGGTTTTAGCTGGTTCTGAAGCATGCTGAAGCCAGAGGACTTTCTGTAGTGATTGATCAGGTCCATCCTGCAAGGTCTGCTTGAGGTACTGGCAGATGAAATAGGAGTAAACCACTTTATAAATCCATACACTCAAAAAATCAATAGCAAAACTGTTCTTTATTTGATTTTGCACAAAATGACATAGTTACACTTCATATGGAATCATTGCACACATTTTTCTAAAACACTTGGTTAAAAGGCTGTTGTATGTCAATGTGTAGAAATGAAATATATGGCTAATTTTATTTTCCTAAAATTCCTTCTAGCTCGATTTTCCAATTCTTCTTAGCCTGGGTCTACAGAAGCATGGAGAAATAACTAGAGTAATTTGAACATATCTGTATTTCAGGTATATCTACTTGTGTCAAAGCCAACATGGAAAATAAGTCCAGTGTTTACCTCCAGATCTTTTTTCTGATTGTACAGCTTCCTTACTTCCACTGTTGCTGTCTTCAAAGCAGATTTCCCTTTAACACTCTCAAAATTTATATTAGCTTCTAGTATAAGGACTGTAATTTATCTGCAGGTTTCCATACTGAAAACTTCTTACAGCAGAGGCTCCTCATTCAGCCTCCTATCAAGGAGAAGTTGATGTAATCCACTATTTCTCTTTTTGACAATTCCCCCAGAAAGAAATACACTAGTATATGGTCTGAGGAATACAGGTTAGTAGCTATTGGAATGAATGTTCCATACTAAGACAGAAGTGTAAGATAAATGAGGGGTGCTCCAAAAGTAATGCCTCCTATTTTATTATGTTGGCCCACAGTGTCAGAGGCTAATATTGGTGGTATAGCAGTAGAGACTGAACTTTCCCACCAGTATTCGGTTACATTTTGTGGCTGTGAGACAGGTGGCAGCAGAGGAGTCTGACAGGGGTCAGACATGGAAGTGCATAGGAAGCCCAAGTGTGGAACTGAATTCCTCATGCAGAAAAAATGGTATCTGTTGACATTCATTGATGTTTGCTGAGTGCTAATGGTGACCAAACAGTGGATGTGAGCACAGTGAGGGGTGGGTGGTGGTGTTCAGCCATGGTGACAGCAAGATCAGCCATGCTCTGAGCAGTAAAGCACAGCCGTCACACCACAAAATGGTGATTCATCAATCAACTCATCTGCATAACTTGGTGAATTATGTCCAGAAAACTTTGTACGAAGGTGAAGATTGGTTTCAATACATTGGAAACCATGGTGGCAGCATTGGAATATCACAAAGTTTGCACCAGTTGGGTCCCAGAACTGAAAGAATGCCGTATGCAAGTTTGTCAGGACCTATTGAACCAATATGAGGCAGAAGGTGACATATGCCTGGATTGCATCATTAGCAGTGATGAGACCTGGTGTCACCATTATTAGCTGAAAATAAAATGACAGTTCGTGGAGTGGTGACATGTGAGTTCCCCATTCAGTTACAAGTTCAAGACACAGCGCTCAGTGGGAAGTGATGTTTTTTGAGATAGGAAAGGAGTGATCATTCTGTATTCATCAGAACCCAGGGAAATCATTAACCCCGACTGCTACATTCTGATGCTGACTAAGCTGAAAACTGGAACTTCCAAGGTGAGGCCAGAGGAAAAGACATCTTTTTTCTTGCAACGTGATGTACGCAGGCCTTGTTTGAAGACTGTGGAGCACACTGCCAATCTTATCTGGATTGTCCAACCACACCCGTGGTATAATATGAATTTCACGCCTTCTTAATTCTGTCTCTTCAGGCTAATGAAAGGTGGACTGCCCGGACAACTGGTAGCAGCTGTGAAACAGTGAATCACGTCCACTAGTACAGATGCTACATTTTTTTATGAACGTAGCATGCAGGCTCTTGTTCATTGCTGGTGAAAATGAGTTGGTAATGTTGGTGACTGCTCAAAAAGTGTTTTGTAGCTGAGAATTTGCTCTATCAAATAGTGTTATTGTGCTCTTTGTATCTGTTGTAGTTTCCATGGAAATAAAGGAGGCATTACTTTCAGAGCAACCTATGTATATCTTAAATTAATTCTTAGGCAAGTAAATTCATGACATAGTGCAAATGCTAGAAAGACATGTAAATTTTCCTGTATTTTTTCTTTTTGTAGCTTATTTAACTTAATTTTAGTTTTTATTTTTAACCATCTTATGTAGCTACAGGAATCTGTTTGACTTTTGAGTTTAATAACATAATATTTACTCTATTTCCTTAAGGTCTTCAGGTCATCCTGCCTGAGTACCTGCAAGAACATTTTGTCCAGGCAGCTCTGAGTTATATTGCCTGCAATTCAGAGGGAGAGTTCATCTGCAAGGACAATGATTGCTGGTGTCAGTGTGGTCCCAAATTCCCTGAGTGCAACTGTCCCTACATGGACATTCAAGCCATGGAAGAAAACCTGCTCCGCATAAGTGAAACTTGGAATGCATATAACAGTGAATTTGAAGAATCCGGTGAGATGTTTTATAAGATTTTTGTCTGTTTGACTGTATCTTATAAAACCTATTTATACAACAGACTACATCTGAAGTCTCCAGAATGGTTAATAGATCTAAAGCTAAACATATTCTTAAATACATCCCGGACCTCAGTCTTAATTATTAAAACATTCTGATAAGAATTGTTATCCTCACCTCGTGATGACCAGTCTGGGTAAGTACATCAGAGTCTAAGCAGGCTGTGCTTAAAATTCATGTGGTTTGCTTTGTGGAGTCCAGGGCTATAAGGACTCGCTCCCTTTTGGAGAGAGATTTCTACTAGAGGAGTCAGAAAGCAGAACAAACCAGAAACAAAGGCTGCACATTGTTTGAAAAGGTATTCTGAATTTTTAGTTTGTCATGCAGCTAAAGCAGCTGCTTCATTTCACATCCATTCCTCTGTTCTGGGTCGGTGTTTCTGTTGTACTTCTTTTCATCCCATCCCTCCAGAGATGGGATACGTTGGGCACAGCCTGCCCTTGATTTACCATCAAGTTAATAGTTCAACTGTAGTTGGTAACTTGTTTCTTTATATGTTTTCTGCTTCAACTGGGCCTACCCATGTTGCCTATACTGTGCCACATCAGTTTTCTCTAAACCACTGTGATTTGTTTCACGCATCATTTCACCTGTCCTGCTCATCAGAACTTTCTGTTCCATAGGGATCCTCAGGTAAGATCAGCTTCTGAACAACTGTTTTCATTCAGTAATATCAGTAACAGCTGTCTAACCAGATGGTGGGAAAAGTAAGGAGAGCTCAGCAGACGTTGGAAAAATAGTAAAGAAAAAAGAGAAATCGGTGAGAAAAAGTATAGAAAAAGCAGAAAATGCTATTTAAATTAAGTTGTATGGAAAACAGAGAATGAGTAAATGGCAGAGAGGGGGAAATGACTTCTCTGATTATGGGAAGAATACAGGTGAGAAGAAGAAATATCTGTGCAATACTTAACTGTGAACAGTACATTATCAGTGTACATTCATTTATTTACATTTGTGGTGCTGTTAAAGATTAATTTCTTAATTCAAGAATTTCAAAAGTCCCTATATCTGTTACGTTTTACAGTTACTTTAACTTCTATTGGAAGTGCTTTTGAAGATCTCAGGTCCTTTTCCAACTCTCAGTCTTACTCTTATATGACAATATGAAGATATCAGAATTTTCTCCTGGGAGAATATTTCTGCTTGGAGGATCACATGTTTCACTGATTATAAAAAAATTAAATTATATTTCACTTCTGTGAATATTAACCCAACATTTTTTCAATAACTATTTTAACACCTGCATGCATTTCTAGAGTAATGCTATCATTTACTGCTTTGCAAACTGAGAGAATTGTTGTCTAGGAATTAGAGTCAAAGTAAGAACAGGGTAATCCATTGCACTCACTACTGGCCCACATAACCTACTACAAAGTGCAGTGGAATGAATGAACTCCATGCACTGAATCTTATGACCTCCAGATTCACAGAAAGTTAAACACACAAGTGTATTTACTTTCTAATCATCCTGCTATTCTAATCCTTCCTTACTTTAAATACAGCAAAATACTTATTTGAATATGGAGAAAAATTTTGTCCCCATATAAAAAGCTATACAACTTACTGAGTTCACTTGTCATCTTGCACATTATTTGACCACAGAATTTAGCCTGAGGAGGAAGTAAATATTCCATTTAAAATTGCTTGTTTATAGTCAGTGTTATCTTTACTTCCATCTGTTCAAGATAAAATAACAATAGGAACAGATTTTTAGAAGTGAGAAATGGTAGCTTTTTAATAGCTAAATCTCATTTAAAATTAAGAGGTGGCTACATTTAGTCTGTGTTTGAAAGGCTCCACTTGAACTGAAAGAAAGAAAGGATAGAAAAGAAAGAATAGAAAGAAAGAAGGAAAGAAAAGAAGAAGGAAGGAAGGGAGGAAGGAAGGGAGGAAAGAAGGAAGGAAGGAAGGAAGGAAGGAAGGAAGGAAGGGAGGGAGGGAGGAAGGGAGGGAGGAAAAGAAAGAAAAAAGAAAAGATGGAAGGAAAGAAAGAAAGAAAAGAAGGAAGAAGAGAAAGAAAAGAAGAATGAAGAAAGAGAGGAACAAAAACACAAAATCAATTTTTTCCAGGGTTTACTGCTCTCTTTCAAATACTACATTGCCTTTTAAATCGGGAGATAGAAAAGAAAATTGTGTCTAGTTAAAAGGTCAAAAACCCTATACACTACAGTTACAACTGAATAAAGGTAACAGTTTAGTATGACATGTCTATATATACATAAGATTAATTCAAAATTGGTTGATAGGAAAGCATTATATGAAAATTACATGAAAGATTTCTTCCTGTTTTTCTTATATAATGACTCTGGTCTACAGTATGGATTTGCTGGTAATGATTATGAACAATAGAGATTAGATAACCAAACACAGTTCCTGTTCAGGATTGGTCATTGTAATGCAGGTTTGCAGATTTTATTTCTTTTATTATTTCTTCTGGTATCTTTTAACAACTGAAACCTTGTTTTAGAGAACTTAAAACATTATGTTAGTTATCTTACAATAAATTTTGCTGGCTTTTTCATGTCTCTACTTATCCTCCAGAAATACATACTTGATCACTATTACCTCAGTAAGTTTCATATAATTTTATAATATTGAGGTATGCTTTAAGTTTTCTCAAGGAAATGACAAGAGCTACTTTAAACTGTTTACTCTGAGCCATCTGCTTATTCCTTATCGTATCTTCTGGCCTTCAGACTTAGGTACCACCTTTTCAAGATAAGCAGCTGTTTCCTTATTGAAAATCTATCCTAAAGCTGTTCAACATTTATTAACAGATTTCATTAGTTTCTCAAGGCCTTTGGCTGAATTAATGTGTTAACAAAGTACTCTGAAAACATTATTCCAAGAATCTGTGTTCTTACACCATCTCATCTCACACTTGACCATAAAAATATCAACTCTAATGGAATCAGAGTTTCTTTTATCCTCTATCTGCATGAAAGCAGCTTTTCACAAGAACTGGTAGACTAAAAGGACATTTAGATAATATCTGCTTGACCTCTTGTCAGATATCAGTTTCAGTGAGATCCCAGAACATCAAGTCCAGTTACGTTAGTCAGGTTTAAGTCCTGCAATCCTCACTCATGCCTGAAGCCCCATTGCCCACCTCCCAATCCCTTTTCAATGTTGAAATTGCTCTTTTTACTTTGCCACTTGTCCTGTATCTCTATCTATTTTAGTCTTTGTATTAGGAGCAAGTACATGCCTAACTTCTTCTTCTACTCCACTTTCTCAGTAAATTTATCTTTCCCATTCAGGAAGAAAGTTTGACCCAAACACTCAAATCCTAATTAGTTTCACACGATAAAAAGTGTCAAAAGATTCCTTAGGGATTCTTTAGAATTAGAGAATTAGAAATTCTCAATTTCTTAAAGTATATAGGATAGGATAAGACTTAAACACTTGTGATTACACTGACGGTGGCGATTCCATCAGTGAACATGTTCTCTTGTATACTGCTGGTTTTGGAAGTTTTGGGGATCCTTTTGGCAAGGCTTAGCAATGTAAAAAAGCAAATTCTAACACATAACCCTGTCAACCTCTAACTAGAAACTAAGCATTTTGTAGAAATTATGACCCACTGCTCTAAATTGCCTGGAAGCATGAATACCCATGCACAGGGTCTGGATTCTGATAGCAAGGACACGATCATGCATTGTCTGTACCAAAATCCTGGTGTGGCTGGATGCTGAGTACCTTTGGAAATTTAGCCACTTCACTCAAACAATTTAAATTACAGTAATTTTTTTTAAGGTGATCTGCCAAAAGAAATCTGTAGTAGTCCAACTTCCTCTCATTGTATTTAAAGTAAAAAAAACCACCATTAATAAGACATGGACAATAGGAGTTGCTCAAGTCATAGAAGATGACCAAAGTTTATTTCGATAATTTCTTTTTTTTTTTTAAATCAGTAACTTTTATGAGAATTCCTGAAAAATACCTGAAGTAAAATCTTCATTCCAAGGATTCACATATCTCATATGAAATGATAGCTTTCTCCCTAGTTGTCATATATTTCCCAAGTGCTGACCAGTTAATTTTTTTTTTTTCCCTCAAAGGCAAGAAAATCATTTTTGGAATAATTCCTTGAAAGGCTTTGGATAAGGAGATGTGCAACAAATATTTTGAAGCATATTTTCAAAGTAATATGCTTCGAAGTTGAAAATTTATTCTTTCAAGCATTCAGTACAAACACAAAATACTGTGGAAGAAAATAGCATCCCTACAACACATTGGACAGAATCTTATTGTCATAGTTGGACTTTTACAGATTCAGGGAAGTACTGAAATATGTGCTTAATTTAATCAGTTGTAGTGCACTAACTTCATACATTTAATTATGTACTTAAATGTTACGCATCAGTTTAAACAGATCAGAAATAGAGCCATCTAGAGCCTTGAAAAACTTGGCCTACTGAACACAAAAATTCTTTATGCTACAAGCCATGTATCTTCACAGGCATAATTAAACATCAAAAGTTATACTGTAAATATTTTGGAATGTATCCTTCAACTAACCAACAACTTTAAAAAACAGACTTCTCAAAACAGATTTTCAAAATACAGAATTTTCTCAACCACTGTTCTGACAATATATCTGCCTTATAGATAAGTTAAAAGATAGGTTTCGTTATCACAAAAAGTAATAGTATAATTGCAGTCAAGAGTAATTGATATTAACTTTAAAACTAATATATGCTGAAAATATTTTTTCATTATTTGTAACTTCTCCATCACTGCTTTGATTTCAAAGCACTCACTGATCTGAATTTATTTTGCATGTTGTTTCTTCTTAAATCATGGATTGACTGGATTTGGACTTCATACCCAGCGTATATCATAATTCCAAATTAACTTATGAGTGTCTTGCTATTGAGCGTTAGTTAACCTTTACATGTACTGATTTAATGCAATCTGAAAAATAAATCCACATT